TAATAATAATAATCTTTTATAAAAAAATAACTCTAAATGATAACGACTTTCAATTTTTACAGAAGAATTTGAATCTCAATGGAAATTCTGTGATTTGTAAATCCGTTTCAAATGTCAACAAGATAGTGCCAAAAATAATGACGGATATTAATCACAGGGATAATATTCGTCTGTTGATAAAATATTACATAAACTGACAGATCATTCGAAGCATTGCAAATATTGAATATTATTGCAATATTAATAAGACAAACAGTTAGTTAATTACTTAAATGCTTTTATCAACAAATACCAATAAACAAGGTGAAAAGCATACTGTTATCAACAAGTTTCATTTATCATACATTAACTATAACGTGGGTAAATTATTACCTAACCTCTTATATTCCACATTATGTATGTATGTTTACATACATTGTCTTGATGAAATAATGCGGAAAACGTACAGATATTATAAATAGATATATTTTTAAAATAAAAACTGGCATTGTGATTGAACAATGAAAATATATCCACATTGTTTTACAAGTGTACGTAAAATATAATTCGATAAAAATCTTTTCCATATACAAGATATCCATAAAAAAACAGTATCTAGGCGTAATCAACGTTTCTGTTTCATATCGATTTGTATGGGATTAACAGCAGGTGGACGCTGACCCCTTCGAAGCGATAGGTTGGTCTCGATTATGTCAGTCTTCTCCGATAACGACACTGGCCATTGGTCTTTCAGCTTTGATTTCGTCGCCTCAGAGGCAAAGATACCGTATTGTCTATTGTTATTCGCTTTTAGCAAGTCTGTTTATAGGATTGGTCATTGGATCGTTTAATCGACGAAAGAGGGCTGGCAACCTTTAATGATACGATTAAAGATCGCGAACAACTGCCTGCTTTCGGTCACTCGACGTGACGCTACTTGTAAACAAGCCAAAGAATATTTCGATGCTAGAACCGACAGACGGTTCTCTGCTTGAAACGAGAATAAGACGATGTTAGTTGCTTTTGTTTTAGCATTTGATTCATGGTTAGAGTAATTTACGTGAGTGTGATCGTGGTTTTTGAAGCAGAAAGTTTAATTTTCTTTTGATATCTGGATTGTGAGTGCAATTTCCGATTGAAGACATTTGATAATTAATGAAATTAGAGGAGATACGAGATGTTTGAAATTAAGCATCAAGTTTGTAAAACACTATAGGGAATTTAAGGGACCACAAATTATTGAGAGTAAACACAGCAAGTATTGAAAGAGTTAGTTAAAACATTATACAGAAATACGAATTGAATTTTAACGAATAATTCAAGTGCTACGCGATTACTTCCAAATTCCCCAGAAATCACAAAGAAAGGTATAGCATGTGAGAAACATGCGTTGCTAATTACGAACTGAATTTGTACGTGCTTATTCAATGCTACGTTACGATCTTCAAATTTAATAAAAAAAACCATAAGAAAAAATAAGAAAAATATATGATTTCACGAATGTTATTTTTCGAGATTTTACTTTCAAGGAAAAAATAAACAAATTTTGTTCTCTCCAGACATTACACATTTCACATTTCAAGCCACAAATTGTAAAGTAATGAAAGTGATAACAAAAAAGGGGTTATAAATGTAATTATCATAGTAAGAAGTAACCATCGAAATAGCATAATTTAAACGTTGCTAGGTTCCACGTGGTCACTGCGGTACGAACACGGTATTGGACCTTGACTTTTGCTCGAGATAAGGTAACAGGTCATAAGCGGCTAACTCACCTGTGACCGGATATCCTTCATCCTATTATGTTCGTCACCACCGGTCTCAGACTGGTTGGTTGGATAGGTTGACCGAGCGAGCTTGTACGTCCGCGTCCGCGACTGAGTGCTTCTACAAAATGACTAGATGAGTCCCGGAGGTTGATGTGGCGACGCCTGACTCGGGTCGAGTCGTGTAGAGTCGAGTCGAGTCGGCCGGCATCGAATCGTCCAGAGTCAAGTCGGGTCGTGTCGGGTCCGAGCAAATCGGGTCGCATTTGAACGCGTATGCGCAACATTACCGACATTGTCGCGCTCTTTCAACGCTCGTGCACATGCGCTTATTACTAACTGTTTGCGCGATTGAATCATCGTGAGTCATTCGAGTATGTTGGTCAGACGACCGAAACTGGAGCTTTGTGCAATGAAGGTTTGATTTGTACAAATGTAAGAAAATAATATACTTTTTGGAAATCAGTATTTCTTATTCGTAGATCTTTTTATTACAATGAAAGATTTTTATAATTACTTATAGCAAAAAGTAGCATTATCAGAATTTGTAGGTTATTGTAGTTGGAGATGATCTTGGTGTGTTATGTTTGCTAAACGTATTATGAAAGGCTATGAACATTTAGGTTTAATTAAAACCTGTAAAATGTCGACTACAATACTTCTGCTGGATGTTTCAAGCGGCGTCTATAATTCTAACGAGTTGTAGGGA